ATATTAGTTGATCTTTCTCTGCAGCTATAGCACCATATTCTGCATTCTATTCTGTTATCCTGATGTAAAGTATGATTTGTCTGGTTAGCAGACAAAACAATGCTTTTCACTGTATCTTGGTACATGTGACAATAATAAATCAAATCAAACCTCATACTGTTTCAGCAGTACCTTTTTCCTAGGTGTACCTAAGTTATTGGTACTGACTTGAACCATTGCCACTGGATTCTCCCGTTCCTACTGCAAGTTCTTCTCCAGTCCAGAACAGATATTGGGCAAAGCCATTTGGACTCAGGCTTTTTGCTGAACAGTGTGAATCCCTCTCTATTATCCCCCTACCAAAACTATAAACCTTCATACTCCCATTCCACATGAATGACTGTTTCATAAGGCCATGACCTGTTAGCCCATCCATCTTCTAGCCCACACTCTCACACAGAGTTGAGAAAACCTCACACTTGTTGGTCAATTGCGAAGACTGTGACTCCTTCTCTCTGGGTCCCTTTACTTGCATCACTTGTTGTCACACTTTCTTAACCCTGACCACTGATCAAATTAGAAATCCTGCCCTGAGGGGCATGACTGCCTCCTGGAATAAAGTGTCCAAATAACTTGCCCCCTCCTTGATGTGCTGTAGTGTCTGCAGCTTAGCTTCTAGATCAGTACCCAAGCCAAAATTCCTGCAGTCACAAGCACTTGTGGCAGATGTTTGCCCTGGAGCACAGTGGCATCCAGAGCTTCCACATTCTGCAATCACAGAACATCACCTGCCCTACCATCTCTAAAACTGTTGATTTGTAAATCGCTAAGTAATTAATTTAAAATAGAGTATATGCCTCCCAAAATATTTTAACAATCCCAGCACACTTTACAATACGAATAAAACAATGTAATATTCACAGTACTAATGAAACTTAGTTTCTAACAATATCAGTTAGTACTTTCTGTTCCTAATGCTGCACAAAATTGGAAATCAAGTGCTGTAGGTTGACAAATATCAATAGGTTAAAAAAAAACACCCTCACTGAACTCTCCACTCAGCACTTTATTTACTGCAATAAACCTTAAAGTATCTCCTTCTTATAATACACCAAATTCCAAATTTGAATCAAGTACTCTCATTTACTGCTGTCTCTCTCAGGTGAAGTCTCCTTCATACTGCCATACTCCTCACTGACTATGTATTTTAAATTTCCTATTCTCATTTAGAGCTGTGATGAGTCACTCTCTGGCTTAGCTTCCTGCTATAGTAGTCAACACCTATGAAGGCAAAGAATTTCAGGTGATTGACAGACAGCTGCCATGTCTACTATTTCTAGGTCAGAAGCCAATGCGTAATCTAGAAATGAAGTTTAATTTCCTCTTTGAAGTAAATTCCAAGACATACCCACTCAGCCACTGTTTCACTCAGCCAAAGTCTTCCACACACTGATCCTGCTTCCTGACTGACTGCATGTTTTTAATATCCTATTTTTATATGTAGCCTTTCCTGCATGGTGATGTGTACAAATGCTTTATCCTTGTCTTTTACATACAGATGTTGAGTTTCACTGTCATGAAGGTCGTTGTTACCACTGGTGCAAGAATCAATAACCAGAGAACTGATTAAAGGCAATTAGCAGAAGAAGCAACTGCAACACGAAGAATAGAAACAAAATACAGAGTGAGCAGTTAGGATCTCAAATGCACTAAGGAATATTCTGGAGGGAAGGTCAAATGAGACTTTCAAAAGAGAATTGGACCATTATTTAAACATTTTTTTTACAGCTATGACAGAAAACAAGTTCAGTAGTGACACCAGGTGAATTACTCTCGCAGTAAGCTAATCCAGGCAAGACTGAAAGGCCTCCTTATATATTGTAATTATCTGTAGCAACTGTTGGTTGCTTGAGGAACGCCAGGTCAAAGTTGATGTGCTGGAATCTGAGCTTTGAACAGGGAGAGGGCAGAGTCACCTGAATGCTGAGTTTCAGAAGGCAGTCACACCTCTGAATTAAATACTGATTTCAGCTAGTAAACAGGAACAAGAGGGTATAGCAATGAGTGTGTGACTATGAGTGAGGCAGGTACAGGGATCCAGGAGGCAGTACAGAAGTATCAGCTCTTGTCCCTGTCCAACAGGTTCGAGATTCTTGCTACTATGTAGATGACAGCAGGGACTGGAAGAAGGATGAACTGATCGTACAACCACAGTATAGGGAGCCAATCAAATGGTGGGGACAAAAGAGAAATATAGTCATCATCAAGGTAAGTACAATTCAGGACACAGACACTGTGTCTCTGTGGCCAGAATCAAAAGTTCCTAGGGCTGTGTTCTCCGTTAGGGTTCAAGTTATCTCATCTGGGCTGCAGAGGAATTTGGGATAGGACAAGAAACGTCCAGTTGTCATTATCCATATAGGTACCAACGATAAAGGCAAAACAAGGAAAGAGGTTCCACTGAGGGAATATAAGCAGGTAGGGACTAAACTAAAAAGAACACAAAGATAATAATGAGATAACAAGGTGCAGAGCTGGATGAACACTGCAGGCAGGCTGACGTTTCAGGCCTAGCATTTCTGAAGAAGGGTCTAGGCCCAAAACGTCAGCCTTCCTGCTCCTCTGATGCTGCTTGGCCTGCTGTGTTCATCCAGCTCTGCACCTTGTTATCTCAGATTCTCCAGCATCTGCAGTTCCTGCTATCTCTGAAACAAAGATAATAATCTCCAGATTACTTGAAAATCAGGGAATTCACCCCCTTAAAGAGGTATAATCATTTTTCAATTTTAAGGCCAGGGCCACTGCTGGAAATCATGTCAGTCAGGTGGGTGGATGATTTACTGCTGGTATGATCAGCTAGCTAATCCACCCATCAATGTATGATAATAATATACTGTAATTAAAAGCAGCCAGGCCTCACATTGGCAAGTGTAGTGGAATGATTACACTCAGGTATGTTGCTCATTTTGGAGTTCCCCTACCCAAACTACACCTACCCCAAACTATGAGGCTTCACCACTATGCCAGTAATGTCAAAAACTGACATTTTGCCGCATTTAGACAAACAGGAGGCTGGAAGAGTACAGCAAGTCAGGCAGCATCTGGAGGAAAGGAGAAATTAGCATTTCAGGTATTACCCTACTTCAGGACTTAAATTTATATGCAGGTTTTTATTTCAAGAATGGACCAGCAATTTGAAAGTTTGCCTGAAGTTGATGGAAAGGGGCCGTTGTCTGGTTAGACATGTCAATATCAATGTCACTTTAGAAGTGGATTTTTGAAGCAGTAAACAATAGAAAATATTGCAAGAGCAGTTAGCCATCATTGACCAACATCTTTTAATTAATAAAAGGTGTTCTTATCCAAGACTAACAATTGCCATTCTGGATATACAAAAAATAAGAGATGGGAAAAATGGAATTGGTCCATTCTCAAAATAAAAACCTGCATATAAAATCTCTTACACACTTAACGTGATATTGTAGAAATAGTATAAATTAAACACTGCATATAGGCTCATCCATGTGAAACACAATTTGTCAAGTGATTGCTGAATTGTCACACTAAAACCTCCGAGTAGTTTCCAATGTTTGCATGAGAGACCTTAGAAATACCAGTCTAGGAGCTTTTGAGATTTTTAAGATCTATTTCTTCTAATTTAGGACTTTGGTTAAGATTTGTGAATGTTATGAATGGCACCAGTTGAATTTGATTATTTCAGGAACAAATTAAGAACATAAATAGAAAGTTATAGTAGTTTCTAATTTGATTCCCATTTTTTAAGAGTAAATTCACAGTCAGTGTTTAAATAGATTGAAATGAAAGTCTCTGGAAAGGCTAGTTTCTTTCTGCTTTGCCTTGACATTTAGGAGTCAAATCCAATGTAACACAAGATTTAATCTAGTGACCCTAATTGAAATGCTTATAGATGACAGATTCTCTCCTTTCCACCACCTAAATGTTTACTTTTCTTGCTCTATTGCTTGCTTGTCAAGAGCTCCTTCTAAACAGGTGCACTTGTTAGAGGTCCAGCCAGGCAGAAACTAAGAAATATATACATTTAGCCTAATTGGAACCCAAACTGAACCAATTGTGCACAGTTGTACTACATCAGAAATGTACTATTTGATGCATGACTCATATCAAACATATTATGAAAAACAAATAATGTTGCAGTGGTAGTATTTCCTCACTGATTCTAAATATTTTGAGGTACACTAATTCTTTCATTAGAAAGTTGTATTGTTGAGGGTGATGCTAAGCATTCACAGGATCTAGTCTTGACTTAACAGATAGGATAATTCCATTAAACATTTTCTTATTTCAACATTTGTTTAGGTTTCAGGAGAGAAATTTGGAAGCTCTTGTTCTGGCGTGAGAATGGTTCCCAGCCATGGCGTTTTTAAAGTCTATGATTGTGGATTTAATTCCCACTCTATAAATTGATCATATAATCAAAACCAATACTCTAGAGAAGTCATAATGAAATGCAACATCATTTAAGGTGCTGCTTTTGAATGAAACATTACATCTAAGTTCTGTTGGACTAGCAATCTCATGCACAATCTTAAGGCTAGCAATTCAACAGCATTCTGGCCAAAACCCTTTCCTCACCTAGTACCGCTCAAAACAGAGGCTTATCTGCAAACCAGCGGTTACATTTTCTTCACAATTGACTGAACATCAAAGTAACTCATCATTTATAAAGCACTTTGAGACGTGGCAAAATAAAGGAATTTGTAGATCTCAAACAAAAAAAATGAACAGGCTTTTAAAAGGTACTAAAATTGATCATACTTTCTCTTTGAGCTTGTAGGATTTTTGGATAATATGAAATGGTGGAAAAGATGTATAATGATCTTGAAATGCGGCAATACTAAAATATTTAGTTGTATAGTTGCATGATCATCATGAAGTAATTTTCTTTGCACACCAGAAGTTATTCATATTACTTGACGGCAAACTTCCATGTTTTAGACCAGTAAGGAAACAGCAGTTAACACTTGTTTTATTAAGCTGTACATAAATAAACCAATAGTATGAGTTTACTTTAGACACTCAAGATGAAAATCTAATTAGGATATCAAAAAGCAAAGGCACTGTATCAGTACCTTCCAATTCACTACATTAGCATGCTGTGATGTTCTTTTTAAAAAAATCTATGACATAGACACCAGCTTTTCAATACAGAATCTATAAATGGTTATTTATGATTGAATAATGTAAACAAAATTGTGAAAAATAACAATCTTAAATACTTTTAAATTCAAATCTTGCACAAGATAAACAATTTATGGTACTCTTATAAGGGAACATTTTGTACAAAAATAACTTGTTAAAATACTAAACACTAAGGACTTATAACTAAATCAGCGCATTTAGACTCTGCACAGATACGCAAAATACTTCTGAATGTCAGCTGATTGCAGGATATAAAAGAAAAACTCCTGTCTGCTAACCAACAAAAGTTACAATCTGCCAAAAACATGAGATTATTTGCTTTTTCAAACAAAATCTAAACATGACAACAACAAATGTTGGTTGCAACTATTCTTGTGAACGTATTCCTGCTGTAGCTTTCTACTCAGTCAGTACGTATATATTCAATTTGTACATGGTTATTTTCCAGGCAGTAATGTGTACAAAATTAAATGGAGTTAAAAAAATTTTACTAATGCTTTAGGATTATAAAACAAACAACTAATCTATTTCAAACAACTATGAAACTGAAAAATTCACTCTTCCTAAAATTAACAGTGTAAATGACAATGCAGTGTGTCAGGTGTTATTGTCAGAAATTCAACATGACAGAATCTTTGCCAGCAGTCAAAAAATATTGCACACTTTGTGCTCTTATAGTTAACTTAAAGAGGCTGTTACAAAATCCAATCTGCACATACATAACAAGAATGACACAGACATACAATGTTGCAATTCTACGGTGAAGAGGCATTTACATTATATACTTTAGTCTTGGATTACATGCCAAAAATAAGCGTTATGGTATTATAAACCTTAACATAACATCACATTGCTATTGGCATACATCATGCAGCATGTAAAAACCCAAAGGTAGTTAGTGCAAAATACCATAAGCCATGTGATTTTATGTAGGGTGCAGTGCAGCTCCACAACACTACTGCTTGTGTCTGCACAGTCTTGCAAATAATAAAAGCACCACAGAGTTTGTTTTAAAGCTTTAATGAAAAATTAAAACAAACTAAAATATGGTGTGACTTGTTCTTAAAAGTCAGTTAGATGAACAAACAGTTTATAAAACTGTTCATAGCATGTGACTTGTTCTTAAAAGTCAGTTAGATGAACGAACAGTTTATAAAACTGTTCATAGCATCTAAATTGTATTCAATTTTCTTGTAGGATTTAAATGAACTCTGGTGAAAACCTATGGAACTACACAAAAATCGTTACTCTGGAAGTATTTCATAACAACATTGGAGTCCAACTGTGCTCCTTGATTCAAGGAACAGTAAATGTCTCATTCTGCTTACTGAAGAGAGGTCACTGAACAGTTCTCATCATTTAATGCTTTAGTAATATTTCTTTATGGAGACAGTCTTGGTGCTTCTGCACTATAGTTTCAAATTGACAGTTTGAAGGACACTTTTCTTTCTGTTTTGCAGGTCAGAGGAAAGAAAATGAAAAAGAATTAAGAAACTGGTTTAGATACTGGTTAAGTCTGAAACAAATAAGAACAAAAAACAGTACCAAATATCATAAATGCATCATGCACAAGGAAACTTAAATTGTAGAAATAGCAGCATAGAACAAACATCCCTGGAGTGATCACGATTAATCATTGCATGCCAGATGTCATTGCCGAAATATTTTAGGAATAAAACAGGAATTACCTTAATGAGGCAGAAATGAAGCGACTGGCAAAATACCCAGCTTTAGCTCCTGAGCCTTATTTACATACTCTGATCCTGACCTTTTCCTGAAGTCAGTGCGTTGGGAATATGCCAAAATTGGTATGGTGCAATGTACATTGAACCTTTAATCTAGTTCTTTGACAAAGTAAGTTGGGAAAAGAGGTGACGATTAATAAGCGAGGGATGTAAGAGGCCTTGGGTATTCTAGTGGGTTCAGAATGAGCACTCCTGGTTCTTCTGATCTACAAAGCACCTTACCATGAAAAAATTACTTAATTGGGCCCTCTGTGACCAGGGTCCCTGCTGCCACCAGCTTTTGTTCGTGAGCTGGGTAGACACACTCTAATGAGGCCTATGGTTAAAATGGCTTTGTCTGATCCTTTGGGACAGGTGGCCTTACCATGTCTGAATATAGCTAAGTATAAATGAAAACAACCATGTATGTGTTGGCGGCACAGCTGGGACTTATTCTACCCCATGCCATTTCTGCTGGCAGGAAGGAGGGGACAGATTAGAGTTGGCACTAGGGTCCCTTCTTTATCACCATGTCTTGTGAATCTTTTTAAAAGGGAAACTATATTCCTCTCAAGTATCTGTTCAGCTATTATGCTTAGATATTTATACCATATCTATTAGTGTCCCTTATTTTACTTTCAAAAATATAATAGCAATATGAAAGCAAATATTTTGTGGAAAATTTAGCCATCAACAACAACACAATAGAGAAAATGAAACTACATCATTGCGGGTAATTTTTTTCTGTAAAACAATTTTCTGCTCCTAGGTTTCCATGGCCAAACTCTTTTGAAATGTGCAACATGGGAACAAAGGAAGGCAGGGACACTTGCAAGTATACAGTATCTCTCTTACAATCAATTATAATGAAGTAATAATTTGGATAAATATATTTACTCATGAAAACACAAAGATTTGAAGCACTTGCCAGAACTTTACAAAACAACCTTAATACAAACGTGAAAAGGCAATAAGTCATGAAAGACTGAAATTAATAAGCGAAAGCAGTGGATTGCATACATACAAAATAAATGAACTTTAAACACTTGTTTCCTTTTGTATTAAGCAATATGTGGAAGCCCCTGCCCAGGCATGCAGAATGAAAAATTAACAGTTAATATTGCTTAATGCATATTAATGCATTACACAAAGCCAATTTAATAGAATAAGCAAGCACATTTTTAGATCTGTTAAGCCAGCCACAGCAGAATGTTTCTGGAATAAACTGCTATAAGGATAATGTTAGTTTGTAAATAGGTAAATATTCTGATCCTCCCATTTACACTCCGGGCAGGAAACTTACCACCGTACCCCAAATCACAAGATGATGAACATTTACATCTAGGAGCTCTGTTGCTCCTCAGTTTTGCCTTGTGCACTTCTGAGTTCCTGCACAGATCCCATATCTGCAGAAAATAATCAAAGCACTTTAAATGGATCAGTCACCTGCCAAACATGTTTCAGTAGTTTATGTGTATAATATTTTTGCCTTAGGGTAAATGTACATGTCAATGCAACATAGTTTGGCTTCTCAGGTGTTAGGGCTCAAACATGCTGGGGCAGATGGCAGTTTTATGCTGATCTGCTTCAGTGTCAAGGTCAGACATATTCAGGAGGAAGGCTCGATTTACACCGTTATTACATCATCAGTGACAAAATGGATAAATTGATACAATTTTAGTGCAAAATCACCAAGTTGTGCAAAAAACACCAGCTGCAACTAATTCTAAAGTCATTGGACGATAAAGTACAGGAGTCATTAAAGTTTCCTGATTACATTAATGATTTTATTTAAACACACATTCACGGCACAGGTAACCTAACTTTAAGTTTGGCATTTTAGGATAAATACAAAATAAAATCGCCCTTTAAACATACTTGTCATTATCATTTAAATTTATTTTGCCTGGCTTTTCCGATGTTTAGTGTTTTGATATTTATGAGTGACAGCTAAAGTTGAAACTATTAATTAATGTGAAATGATGGCAGAGAAATTCAGTGGTCTTTGAACGTTGTTTCGTACAAGATAACTGCATTACGGGTAATTAGTGAAATCACTGTGGGTATCTATTATATAGAAACATAGAAGATGGGAGTAAAAGGAGGCCATTTAGCCCTTCAAGCCTGCTCCACCATTCATCATGATCATGGCTGATTGTCCATCTCATTAGCCTAATTCTGCTTTCTCCCCATAACCTTCCCCATTCGCCCCAAGTGCTGTATCTAGCTGCCTCTTGAATACATTCAATGTTTTGGCATCAACTACTTCCTGTGGTAATGAATTCCACAGGCTCACCACTCCTTGGGTGAAAAAAATGTCTCCTCATCTCCGTCCTAAATGGTTTACCCTGAATCGTCAAAATGTGACCACTGGTTCTGGTCACACCCACCACTGGGAAAATCCTTCCTCTATCTACCCTGTCTAGTCCAGTTAGAATTTTAAGTTTCTATGAGATCCTCCCTCATTTGTCTGAACTCTAGCGAAAACAATCCTAAGCCAGTCAATCTCTCCTTATACGTCAGACCCACCATCCCCGGAATCAGCCTGGTAAACCTTTGCTGCACTCCCTCGAGAGCAACAGTATCCTTCTTCAGAAAAGGTTACCAAAACTGCATACAATATTCTAGCTGTGGTCTCACCAAGGCCCTGTATATCTGCAACAACCCATCCCTGCTTCTGCACTCGAAACCTCTTGCAATGAAGGCCAACATATCATTTGCCTTCTTTACTGCCTGCTGCACCTGCAATGCTTACCTTCAGCGACTGGTGCACAAAGATACCCAGGTCCCACTGCACATTCCCCTCTCCCAATTTACAGCCATTCAGGTAGAAATGTGCCACCTTCTTTTTGCTTCCAAAGTGAATAACGTCACATTTATCCAAATTATACAGCATCTGCCATTGATTTGCCCACTCAGCCAACCTGTCCAGATCATGCTGAAGGATCTCTGCATCCTCATCACAGTTCACCCTCCCATGCAATGATTATAATTACTATCACCATTGCTAAATTAATAATTTCAAGTGTTTCTTTTTAATTAGTGAAGACATACAATCCATCTACTTTTAATAAAACTGTTTCAAGTTTCTTATCAATTCCACCTGTGTTTTATGACCAACCACTGCGTCCCCCCCATTGCTTTTACTATCGTGGAAAGTTCTAATCTAGGATATTTAGTCTGGGAGTATCTTATACTTAACATCTTTATTTTATTCGTCTTCAACAATGATTATTTATGTTAGAATGCACCCTGAGCTATTTTTAAAAATATTGACAGAGCTTGATAACAAAGCTCAATCAAACAACCTTTTTTGCCTTCAGCTGCCTACACTCAAATCTCAATCTCTAAAACCCTCCTCGGGAAAGATTCAATATGCTATGTCCAACATTTTGTGGTAGCTGCACCTGCTGTACATTTGCCAGCAGGTGCAGCAGGTTCAGCCTACACATAAAACCTTGCTCCTGTTGGATGACATGGAATGAAATATCAAAGTACAATAAAAATGGAAGGTACACAACAGAAACATAACAAAATATACAAATAGAACATCTCTTAAATATACATGATGGATAACCTTCCAACTTGAGATTCATTGATTATACTTGCAAAAACATGCAAAAACAAGACATTTGAATATTTGATTGTTAGTTTGTATTACATATGCAAAAATATGCTGATGCAAGATCAGTCATTTACCAATTCATACAGAAGAAATGCACAGCAAAGACAAACCAGCCATGCACAGGGTTAAACATGCAGGATAACATTACACCACCAGTTTGCAAATGTTTAAACAGGCAAGCTTTTTTTAATTAAATTCACATTACAAATACATAAATTATATATAACCTTCAATGCTAACTTAATTTTTTTCTCCACACAAGTGATAACAATCAGGTAACTCTAGTATTAAATCTGTTGAAAAAATAAAAAGGTATTGGCAACGATCTTCTAAAGCCTGTTTCACCCAAAATTAGAAGTCCTCTGATGAATACAATATACATGGATTTAAGTAATTGGGATCTTCACATTGGTTGCATTAGTACTAACTCTGTGGACATGCTGGAACATTTGAAATTTGGGGAGAAGTTAACATTTTGGATAACTTTAAAAACAACATATTTGGGACTAAATTACTTTTCTAGTTTGTTTTTAACCATTTAGTATCCATTGAAACATTTCAATTAAACTAAACAGTCTTACTTTAATCTGTAACAAAACCTTATGATAGTCTGATGTGACTCAAATTTTACACTGGTTTCTTAACGAAGCAAGCAAACTTATATTTTAGTTACCAAGGTAATTAGTTTAATTACTAAATTAGTAATTAGTTTTTTTTAAGATTGACAATATTTTAAAATTTGAACTACCTTTTGAATGATAACATGCTTTTATCTATGCTATATAATTATCTATAAGAAATAAATCTAACTTTCTCAAAAATGTATAATTCTGCACATCTGATTTTAAGGAATTTTTAAATCTTTACATTTTAAAATTTATTATAATGACAGGAATTTTTGAAGCACTTTAGTGACTAGAACACATTAAGTAATAACAATTAAACATCCTTTTAGCATAAATATTGAGACTAAATAAGATACATAGGAGATTGATGGATTTAAATAAGAAATTGGCTATCTTTAATGCATCAACGGAAGGAGGGAAAGGAGTTGCCTATGATTCTTATTCACTTCTCAGTTTATCATCTAATACCAAACTTAGTTTTGTTATATATTGTATTGTAATTCAAGTGCTAGTCACTTAATGCCTTATACATTTTAAATGTTATCTTAACTGCTCTTTCTTCTAATATTATGGTGTCTTTATTCAATTTAGCATGCTTTACTGCAAGTGTAACAGGTCCAGATTATAGAAATTTAAAGTTGAATCATTACTATGATTTTGGGATATGTCACTGCACTGTCAATGTTCTTTTAATAGAGAAGCTGTAATACTCAGTAATTGCTCAGTGAAGCTGTTGTAACTAATGACTTGTGAAAGTTTTGCTTTTAACTAAAAATAAAATTCAAATAGCATAACCAGAACGTGGGTAATTTGGCAAATGACTAAAGTGGTTCCATGCAAAGATTTTTTTATCGTAGGCTGGTTTGTCCTTTTAAAATGATGGATGCATGAATCAAGGAAAGTGATGTTGGAACTAGGATTGCTACTGGTCACCTTGAATATCATCATGCATTTCCTGGTCCAGTACAACATGAAGAAACATGAGCCAAATTTGCCTTAAGCTGCCTTATCACGTAAAAGCAACCCTTATTGACCAGTTGCATTTTAAACTTCATTCCAGCCTTGTCTAAACTGCCAGTTCCATGCAATTTATGGTGAACTGGCAGTGGTGCCAAGATAGAAAACTCACAAGTAACATGACAAACCTATTTCAGGTAGAACCTTTGTTATATAGACTTTCATGTCATTGTGAACCATTTACATTTGAATGACAGAGGTACAAGGACATTGTGCTAACCAGTTACATCGTTAGTTCCCACTCCTAGATGAAATTACAGAGAACTGAATACCCATCCAAGCATGCACACCACTACTTTTCATTTCCTGTTTATATCTTTTCTAGCAGTGTGCATTTAATTGCTTAATGATGACAAGAGTCAAAACGAAACAGAGAAAAAACTTTTAGGCCTGCAAATAACTTAGTTTGCAAGAATCCTAAGATACAGATATATTGATGATTCAATGGAGCAAAGATGAGTTTCATTAAGATAATTCTGAAACAAAACAGTATAATGTAAGAAAATCAAGTTTTGATACATTGGTAAGAGCTAAACACTTTCAAATTAGAATTTCAATGACCAGCAATGGTGTTTTCTCTTATCATAATATTTTATGGCATAAAAATACATTTTGTCATATCTACTGGGAAAATAAACTGGACAACTGTAGAACTTTAAAGTGTTAGCATCTTAATGTCTGAAACTTAGTTATGCTTTAGAACAGTACATAAAAGCAAGCTAAGCCTTGCATACTTGTTTTCATTAGTTTCAGATAATGTTTTCTGTAAATCAGTGTAAAGAAATGCTGCACGTACAACATTCACAGCTGTTGAACTAGATGGCAAAATATGAAATTTCAAGTAAAATGTAAAACTGTTTGCTTATGTTTTTAAAATAGAGCTGTGCTCCATTTTCCCATCTCACGATTCCATTAGAGCTTCTTTTTCCCTCCAACTCCTTTCCCAACCTGCCTCTCCTTTTGTAAGGAACAACTGGGCTGTGCTTTGCACCTTCTTACGACATCCAGTGACAGTAAGAACTTGCCATTTAATACATCATAAATACAGATCTGTGTCCTCTGTAGCACGGATATATTGGTTCTTGAGTTTGTGAAATCATTAGCTGTGCTGTAATTTACTTGCTATTTATCTTTTTCCCAATATTGTTGAGTCAGAAAAATAAATGACACAGAGTCAAAGATGAACTATTTACATATTACTTCGACTAATAATGCAAATAGGAGAATTTGCCAGAACGCTTTACAAAATGATTCAAGTGGTTAGGCACAACTTAAATTTTATACTTTAAAAATATATAACAGTGTAAAATTATTTGCAATATTTAAGAGCCTTTTGATAGAGGGCTGTGGGACCACACCAACTAAGAAATAGCCAATTTCTCTATTTACGGAATTTCATGAAATTAAAAAAAGAATATCCTTCTTGTCAGGTACAAAGTTAGATGCATTTTACCAGCTTTCATACATTAAAGAAATATTCAAGAAAATGCTGACCACAAGATGTGTTTAGAAGTCAGAGGAGCTTCCTTCAAAACAAATTGTGAAACTTAAATCAAAAGTAGATTCAGTCAAAATTAAAAGGATCCAACCAAAAAGTTTTCCAATGAAACAAATGCATATTAAGTTAACAATGAAAATAGGATGAGTTTTATGCAAGCTAAGATTTCAGTACAAATGTTATGAATCTAGACAACTTCAGACAGGAAACCTGTGTAGTTTAACTTATTGGTAAAGGAAGGCTACAATTATACATGATTGCTCAGGGATTGATTTGATTTCTGTACACTGCAAAAACAGTTTATCCAATACTGTATTTCCTACTGATACTGTGTAGATATCTGTTTTGCTGTTTGGTTCTTAAGATATTTGATACCCTTGTTATTACTTTTAGGGCCTTTACTATTTTAAAATCTGCAGACTGATAATCATTCCACAGCACCACAAGTCATGGCAAGTCATTAGACACATCCATATTCATACCATACAGTCTGCTTATCTTCTGACATTATTGAAGGAGACACAGAAACATGCATGCTTTCTTCTGTAAATTCACCAGTTGGGAGTTTACTACTAACAAGAGGGGAATTTAACTCACTACTATCCTGGTTCTCAAACTTAAATAGTTCACTGGATTTTGAAATAATGATTCTCTGATCTTGCTCTGGCAAGTGGACTGTTTTAATTGGTGACACCATAGCAATATCAGTTGGCCGTGCTATTGGCAATCTACTGATACTACTGACAGGATTAGTGGATAAATTGGATGAGGAAAGATGTACGTTAGTATAGGAACCCACTCCAACTGGGTCAGGTTCGGCAATCGCAGAGCCAGATACAAAACCAAGAGCAAGGGATGAGACAGATTTTGAAATGGTTTGACCTTTTTCATCAGTTACAGCGCCAGTGAAAACCCTCTTGATGTTTGTATTATTATAGTCAAAATCTAGAGACTGACCATGAATGAAGGGACTGATTGATTGAGATTTCTGCAAATTGGATGCTGCTTGAACCTGATAAGCTACAAGCTTAGAAAAAAGGGGTTGGTGGTAATGATCAGCTTGGTACTCACTGGGTAAAGTCCGAGCGCTCGTTACCACCTTGCCTGGAGAAGGATCTATTGATACTGGTGCTCTATTATCTCGCGACATGAATTCATGAATGCTTGTTCTTCGATTCGACCCCTCTGCTGTAGAGATCACATGACTTGCACGGGGTAGAATAGGAGAACTGCAGCAGTCTGTTTGAGCTGGTTGTTGTGGCATAATTGGCAGTTCGCTGACTGACACAGTCTTTCCTTGGTTTACCATGGTTGGCTCTATTGCAGTGCTTGTAACAGAGATGCGGTCTGATTTCCGAAGAATTGGCCACATGTATTGTTCAGACTTTTGTAATTTGCCAGTAATAGAATCTGCAATCTCCCTTCCTCCAGATGATTTTACAGTAGCACCATTATTGATAACTTCTTGATTCAATTTCTCGGTTCCAACCAGTTCAGGAAAATCTGTGATTTTTGTGAAAACATCATCGAAAATATTGTCATGGCTTTCAGAATGTACCTGTGCAAATGAAATATGAATAATAAACAAGTTATTAAATATATTAATAGATTTTATCTCACTCTATATTGAGTTTTTTCAGCTAAAGTATACCACATCTTGCAGCATTTTTCATAGCTGATATCATAGCTGTGATTCTATATTAAAAAAAAATCACTATTTAAAAATTGGAAGTCTCATCTTTCCTTTCTCATGTAGCCTTATAAACGGGACTCCATCCTGAATGGCCTCTCATTCACTAATTTGACTCATAGCTGATCAAATATTCAGAAACATATATGCCTACAATCAACATATTTAAACTGTTAGTCAGTTATAGCTTTATAAATAAACCACAAATGGAAACTTCCTTGGATTTCTGTCCATTTCATCACTTAACTGAACTTCCACTGTAGTAGATGTAGATCTGAGAAAATTCCTAGACTGTGCGTTTCTCCCCTCAGTTTCAGTACTAACAAATCAGATCTACTGAATAGGGGATGTTAAGGCAATTGTGACAATTTTCTTCAACTGCTAGTTGTGCAGAAAATAAAGTAGAAAAAATATCAAATGAGCTACAATTTCTGAGAATTTTGGTTGACGATGTGTGCACTTATTGGTTTCCTCTGAAGAGGAGAAGTAAGCTGTTTGAATAAAGAGAGTTAATAATATATTTATTTCAGGATTGGTTGCAGCTGATTTGTTACATCCTGTCATGAATTCAATAGTAGCCTTACACTACATTTGTAAAATCCAAGGTTTGAAAGTAAGATCAGAGGTGGTAATGAGTTTTGCTACATTTAAGAATTACACAGTCATTTGAGCAGCAAACTCCAAGAAACATATGTTGAAAAAGGTGCAGGATACCTTCATTCAGCAATTATAAAAAAACAATGAAGTAGATTAGACAAGCGTGCATTGTATTGTGCAAAATTTTGACAAATGAAGGGTGATCCAATTGAGTTGTTTAAAATTATCAAGGAATTTCTTAGATTAGTTGCAGATAAATTATTTCCTTTGGGGAGGAAATCCTGAGGAAGTAGGCACAACTTTGAAATTAGATCCAGGTCATTTAGGAATGAAGAGACAACAAGGTGTAGAGCTGAATGAACACAGCAGGCCAAGCAGCATCAGAGGAGCAGGAAAGCTGACGTTTCGGGCCTAGACCCTTCTTCAGAAGGGTGCTGTGTTCATCCAGCTCTACACCTTGTTATCTCAGATTCTCCAGCATCTGCAGTTCCTACTATCTCTGAAACATTTAGGAATTAAATCAGGAAATGTTTTTCACTTAAAATGTGTAGACGGAAATCCAGCATTTTCTCTCCAGAAAGGCTGTGAATGTAAGATCAAGTGAAATTTTCAAGATGGAGATCAACAGGTATATCAGAAGATTTGGAACAAATTGAGTAAATGGAGTGTGTATAGCAGATGAGAGAAAATGAGAAAGCGAGATCCACAAACAGAAATTTTAGGGAAAATTAAGGGAGAAAACGTTAGGTGGTTCCATCTCAATATCATCTTTGTTGAGGTAGACCAGTTTGCGTAATGTAAATGAGAAACAACTGATCAAGAAATACTATAACTGGTGTACAAAGAACAAAGAAAATTACAGCACAGGAACAGGCCCTTCGGCCCTCCAAGACTGCGCTGATTCCAGATCCTCTATAGACTAAGTTATTTTTCTGTGCAACTGACCTCTGGGGATTGGTTTACATTGCTTTCCTCCAGAAACTGTTGCAAGGTAACTACTTCACTTCCAGGTGACGTGGCTTTATTTCTTTGCTGAGAATGAGCTTGGGTTCCATCACTTCTAGGTTCTTCATGCTGGAAGGATGAGTTGTCTTTTTCCAAATTTTGTATATGATGATTATATTGAAGGCTGCTGCTCAACAATACTTGATCATCATAAACTGGACCATATTCTCCACTGCTGTGACTTTGGGATCTACTGTGGCTGCCATTAACTGCACCTGCTTTAAAGCAAAAGAAATCACCGCATAAAACCTAACCTCATCTACCATATTGGCAATGAAATAGTAAGTACAGGAAAAACACCTGGCATCTCTATGCAAATGGAATGAAAAAAAATCAAATTGTTGTGGATTAGAACACTAAATATCATATCTGCATGAGCAAAGCAAATCTAAATATTTATATGAAGCCAGACGGTGATAGTGGTAGCTACAATTTATCAACGAATCATGCCTATTGCGGTAACAGCATTGGATTACCTTTACATTTATATTCTATCATAAAATGTAGAATTTCTTGTTGATCTCAGTTTAATACTGAATGCAATAGAAAATGAGGAAATTGTATTAACACCTGACCTAGTAATTTCGAACATTCTACATACAAATAATAGTACAAACATAAGACAGGTACCAGACCTAGCAGAGTAAAATAATATTTTCTCTCCAAAATTCTGTGTAGGAAAACATTCTGAATCATCAAAAAATACTCATCCCAGTAAACACTCATTGCATTTCAGCACGCAGCCTAAATGAAAAATAAGAAGTGTGAGAACAATAACAGTATAAAAGTGGAACTGATTAAAAAAGGTAATCAGCCAAGGCATACCTTTTACATCGTGAGCTGAAGCATTATTATTGTTATTGCTACTGGATGTCCTGCTACTATCAAGGCTGGCTGGTCTGGAAGCTAAATGGAAATTGGGAAACAGCAGGAGATAAAAATGAGTGGAGGACACTTTACCTTTGATCATTGAAACAGATAAGGCAGGGATGCATGCAGTGTATCACAGGCTGAGCATGCCCAAGGTTAGAAAAGAGTTGTGTCTTACAGATCAGAAAGCCAAGAATTTTCGAGGCAGTCCAATTGGACACGTTGGAACATAGCACTATAGGAAAAGCAGATAAACAGAAATATAAGGGAATGGGCTGGACAGAAAACAGTAGCCCTTTCAGGGCAACAGTAAAAGTGGAAAGCCAGGCTATTTCATGCCAAATACAGATGAAGAATAGAATGTGCAGGACATTAGTGTGATTTTATGACTTACAACCAATATGACAGGGCATTCTGTAAACTGTAGGGCTGTCAAGAGCAGAAGGAGCTGGAGTGCATCCATAATAATTATTCTGTAACCCTTCTTGCTCAAATAGAAACAAGCACATTGTTAGTATCCATAAGATGGATGAAAAGATTCATCATTACAACTACCATCAGTATTTAATGTTAAATGATTTTTTTCCCTCAGTCAGGCTTTCATGATTTTTATTTATAGGATTTTTGTTTCTCAAATATATATTCAATGAATATAATAAATTTACATCCAAGTGTAACACGTTTAAGTGCAATTTCTGTGTAAAAAAAATTTCCTCCTTCACCTATCTCATTCTTCTTAACTAAAGTTAGATCCAATTTACTGTCCAAGTCATAACCATAAAAACACACAATCAATGAATTTACCCAATGCTGCCCCTTAATTGTCCTGCAAAATGCCCACCTTTTCCATGAAAATTTGAAAGCAAATGTCAGTTCAGATTATAAATTGTACTGTGGTGCCTTAGCTACAGAAGAAGCACCTGTTCACTAGAAAAATGACGGAGGCCTTATCTAAATCTATCTCAAGTGTCACAGATCACAAAGTTTCTGAACCACATCTATTAGAAACTCCTAATTTCAATATTTGCAATGTAGTTCTGAAATTATTAAAGGTCTAAGACATGTGTTCACTATTGTAGGATTAAGCAAAAATCCCTATTATCTAAAATACTGGACAAAGCCTTGGACTTTTCAAAACTTTTAAAAGATAAATGGAAGCTGGAATGAGTTCTGCAGAAAATACACAAACACACTCCACAGAACTGAGATGGCTGTCTGGGACCATTGCTTAGCCTGGAATTCCAATTTTCACCTCCACTCTAAAAGATTAAGCAACTGAAACAGACTCTAGCCCAGGATAGCTTCTACACCTCGGACTACACCGCACAGACAGCATGGAGCCTACGAGAGATACCGAATGTTCAACTTCAATTGAAATTCACTCAGTGAGACATCAAACATTCAACTTCAATCAAAATCCATTCACACAGGAAACACCAGGAACTCAATGGATTACACAGATATGAGGGATGATAACGGGGCACACAGTCTGTATAACTGCCAGCCCTGACCTCATCTGGAGGAGACAGACTTCTCCCAACAAGCTTCTGCACAAACAACTTTCCCACAGGCTTCCAGCCCCAATAAGCAGCTTCGAAACCAAGAATCACAGAGGACAAACTGAGAACCAAGAACAGGGAAGTAAACCAAGAGCACCACTGGAACAAAGGACATCCGAAAGAGGGGGAAGCCAGCCAAGTACTATCCGAACAAGAGCTTCCAGACACGGGCCTGTTCCGAACCAACAGAACCAAAGGCAAGAACCTCAGCAACCAGGTGCACTTTAAAACTGCTTTTTCCTCAGAGGTGAGCTGAAAATCCCGAGATCCCAAAGTTCTGACCTAGCTAGCAGGTGGGTTGTGACAGTGCATTGGGGCCCCATGGGTAGGAAGCCTGATTAAAGGTTCTGTAATTAAAACTGTTGTCTTTAGGTTCTAATAGTTTTTAATCTAGCTAATAGTGTATTTAATAGTATGACTGTCCTCTGTATAATTGATAGTGTCAATTTTCCAGTTTACTGCATTTACCTATATTTGTGTTATATTCACCTTTTGTATTGTAAATAAATAGAGATTCTTTTGCCCTGAAACATCTGTCTACTTCATTTCACATTCCCTAAATAAGTCAAGTATCTAGAACCAGGGAAATCTGGGGGTGATTTGAACTACCTAAAAATCAGAAAGAAACCGATTGCAAATCAGTACAACTGTAATGATAGGAAAAAAAAATTGCAATTGCAGAACGTATACTTGAAGATAAACAGGAGATATATTAATTATGGGTTAAATGCTCTGTGATTTTGATTTAATTCTGATACATACTTTTTGCACAGGTAATGGCAGGTCTGAAGTGTACTGTCACTGTTGGAAATTGAACCCTGTAAACCTGTGTATTTTAACATTTCTTATTTGGTATTTTCTGTGCAGTATAAAACCTCGTTTAATTGTGTTACAGTAGTAACTAGCCTCTACAAGCATAAATAAAAGATTTATCAGTCAGCACACTACCTGTTGACAGCAATATTTTTGAAAAGTAGAAGCAATGAAAACTAACTTTCAAAAGGAGCTGGGTAAGGGGACAATGGTCATCCGGAATCACGAATAGCTGGCTGCCCATGGTCATTTGCCAAGACGTTTTAGATAGGCGATTGACACAGCATAGTTGGCCAGGCCCCAAAATAAAATATGTCAACAAGGATAGATGAGAGATGGTTAGTGCCAAGAAAATCCAGGGAAACATGCTTCAATCTTCTGGGGAGTAAACCAGGAGTTCCACTACATCAGCCTGAGAGACGAACAAAGGCAAAGACACTGCAAACCACTAGCCCCGCTTGTCCATTCTACAGGATAGCTTCAGGATTGGAGAAGCATTCTCACGGCAATTTGATGGCCTAGTGGTATTGTTGCTAGGTTATTAATCCAAAAACTCAGCTAATGTTCTGGGGAACCAGGTTTGAATCCCTCCAAAGCAGATGATGGAATTTGAATTCAACCAAATAAAAAAAAACCCCATCAAATACCTGGAATTAAGAAACTACTGATGACCATGAAACCATGTTGACTGTTGGAAAAACCCATCTGGCTCACTAATGTCCTTCAGGCAAAGAAATCCATCATCCTCACCTGGCCTGGCCTACATGTGACTTCAGAACCACAGTGAATGGTTGACTCTCACCTGCCCTCTGAAATGGCATAGCAATTCATTCAGTTGTATCAACTGCTATGAAGTCTCACAAAGAAACGAAACTAGATAGACCTAGGCAGTGGAAAAGGCAACAGCAGAAACAACCTCGTAAACCCTGCAAAGTTCTCCTGACTAACATGTGGCGGCTGATGCCAAAATTGGGACAGCAGTATCACATACTAGTCAAGATCAGCCTGACATAGTCATACTAATGGGCAAGAAAACCTCCTGACTACCATGCACTGTCCACCATCAGCTAAAAAATCAGTTCTCCATGTTGAGCAACACTTGGAGCGAGTACTGAGGGTGGCTAGTGCACGAAATGTACTTTGGGTATAGGATTTCAATGTCCACCACCAAGAGTGGCTTAGCAACAGCACTACTGATGGATCCTAAAGGATATAGCTGGGTCTATGGTAGGTAGACCAAATGAGAGGGAAAAACATATTGGATCTCATCCAATCTGCTGGTGGAAAATGCATCTGTCCAGGATTCTATCAGTAAGAGTGACCACTGCACAATCTCTGTAGAGATGAAGTCCCACCTTCACTTTAATACACGTCATTGTGTTGCGTGGCACCATCACTGTGCTAAATGGGACAGACTTTGAACACATGTAGTAACTCAGGACTGGGCATCCATGGAGGTGCTGTGGGCCAACGGCAACAGCAGAGTCGTATTCCAATATAATCTTCAACCTCATGGCCCAGCATATCTCCCGCTCAATCACTACCATCAAGCCAAGGGATCAATCCTGGTTCAATGGAGAGTGCGGGACAGCATGCCAGGAGCAGCACCACGCATATCTGAAAGAGATGTCAACCTGGTGAAGATACTAAACAGGCCTATTTGAATGCCAAACAGCAGGTGATAGACAGAGCTAAGCAGTCCCAACACCACTAGAACAGATTTAAGCTTTGCTGTCCTGCCACATCCAGTCATGATTGCTGGTGGGCAATTACACAACTCACTGGAGGAGAAGGCATCACAAATATTCCCATCCTCAATGATGGAAGAGCCGGGTATATCAGTGCCAAAGAGAAGGCTGGATCATTCTCACTATCTTCAGCCAGAAATGCAGAGTGGATGATCCAGCTTGACCTCATCCAATAGTTCCCAGCATCACAGACACCAGTCTTCAGCCAATTTGATTCACACCATTTGATATCAAGAAATAGTTGGAGGCACTGGATACTGCAAAGGCTATGGGCCCTGACAACATTCTAGCCATAGTATTACAGACTTGTGCTCCAAGTTCAGCAGACACTAGGGAAGGCAAATCCAATGTCAGCCTTGATTTCAACAGGAATGCAATATAAAAATTGTTACAACTATACAAGGTACTGGTTAGACTACATTTAGAAAACCTTTTCTCCATCATAAAGTCAGAAATAGGAATGTTTGCCAATGATTGCACAATGTTCAGCACCATTCGTAGTTCCTCAAATACTGAAGCAGTCTATGTTCAAATGCAACAAGATCTAGACAATATCTGGGCTGACACGTGGCAAGTAACATTCGTGCTAGACAAATGCCAGGCAATGACCGACTCCAATAAGAGACAATTTAATAATGCCCCTTGATCTTCAATACTGTTACCGTAACTGAATCTCCCACTATCAATATCCTGGGGGTTACCATTGATCAGAAACTCAAATGGGGTCAGCATATAAATACAGTGGCTCCAACAGCAGGTCAGAGGCTAGAAATACTGAAGCTAGTAACTGACCTCCTGACTCCCCAAAGACTGTTCACCATCTACAAGATGCAAATCAGCAGTGTGATGGAATATTCCCCACTTGCCTAGATGGGACCAGTTTCAACACCACTCAGGAAGCTTGACACTATCCAGCACAAAGCAACTGGCTTGAGACACACCACATCCACAAGTTTCCATTCCCTCCACCACCAATGCCCAGTAATAGCAGTGTGTACTATAGACAAGAAGCATTGCATAAATTCACCAAAGCTCCTTAGACAGCACCTTCCAAACCCATGACCACTTCCATCCAGAGGGACAAGGGCAGCAGATATATGCACCAAAGTCCCCTCCAAGCCAATCACCATCCTGACTTCGAAAAAATTCACCACTCTTTCCCTGTCATTGGGTCAAAATCCTGGATTCCCTCCCTAAAGACATTGTGGGTCTACCTACAGCACATGGACAGCACTTCAATGAAGCAGCCCAATACCACCTTCTCAAGGGCAACTACGGGTGGGCAATAAATATTAGCCAGCCAGCAAAGTCCACGTCTCACGCGTGAATAAAAATAGCCGTCACACTGGTTATACTTTCCTTGC